TGTATGTATGTATGTATGTATGTATGTATGTATGTATGTATGTATGTATGTATGTATATATATATATATATATATATATATATATATATATATATATATATATATATATATATATATATATATATATATATATATATATATATATATATATGCGTGAGTTGTTTTTTGCTGAGTGTGGAGCCAGTTAGATTTAAAGGGTATTTAAGGGAAATTTAAATAAAAATCATTGTTAATATTGTCAATGTCAAAGTTCTAAAAGTTTTCTGTCTAAACTGCATAACAATAAAGTAGAGTAAAAACCACATAAATGTAAGAATCCTCCAAAAAAGACTGGAGACTTTGACCATTCTTTTTTGCTAAATAGCTCAAGCTCAATCAGACTGGCTGGAGATTTTCAGCAAACATCACATTTTCAAGGTTAATCAATGATTCAAAACTGTGTTTTGGCCTGATCTTTGACTGGACCAATCTAACACCTGCATACGCCTTGCTCTAAATCATTCCAATGCAGCTGTGTTTAGGGTCTCATGTCCCAATCTCATGTCTTTTGCTGCATTTAACATGTTTTTTTTTTCTTTTCTGGATTGCTTTGTATGTAGTAACATCCATCTTCCTATCAACTTTAACCAGCTTCCCTGTGTTTGCTCAAGAAAAGTATGCCAAAAGCATTTCAAAAGATTTTATATTAGGAATATGTGCTAAGGGTAAAATATTGCAAAAAATGTAGTGAAATCTGACTTTTTTAATGAAAAAATTGATAGAAATGTGTAAAAAGCTTACTGATACCTCTGGTTTTGCAGGGTTAAAAGCCACACTGAGTACTTTGTCTGAGTGTCTCTGGAGTTTGTGGAGGTAGGTGCTGGCACGAATATCGTACACATATGCCTGAAATGACACATCAACCAAAACATTAGCTATTATCATCCATTAAAGCCCAGATGCAGGAGAATGTTAAAACATGGAAAGAAAGCCACAGTACCAGTCAGAAGATTATACACCATCATTATGGACATGAACGTCATAACTTCTCACCTTTCAATGATTTATCTGAAACATTTTTAGGATGCCGAACAATAACATACAACTTCAGAAATATTCAAAACTAAAAATTGGGATCAAGTTTGAATTTATTCAATTTTTTTGCACAGTATTGTAAACATACAGAGTCAATACTAAACAAATGCTCGCTAATATTTGGTAAATGTCCCTTAACAGGTTTCACCACACAATTCAGTAGCCAACAAAAAGGTTTTGGAAAATGATGGCCAGCTGTTTGATGATTTTTGTTGGCATATTTATTGGTCATGATGGTTAGGAAGAACAACCCATCAGTGTTGTTCTTAATTTGGAAATCTATATATTACCTGCGTACTTTAATAGTTTGCAAAAAATCTAATTGTCCTCCTGGAGCATCTTGAATAAAGGTTTTGAGAAGTGTAAAACAATCTAGTGAGCCCTACAAGAGTGTTCCTGTCCTTTTTGACCATGATTGCTTTTTGATATATTATGACAAGTATAAATGTACCTGGCTTATAGATGTCTCAGGGCAGCCACAAATAAATACCCTGCAGCACACTACAAACACTCTCCCAGTTTCCAGGAAAAGTTGGAAATGTCCCATCTTAACACTGATGCTCTAAATGTCCATGCTGTGCTGAATCCCCATAATTAATAACATCAACCACAATGGATAAATTATTTCACTGCTTTCCACAAACACATATAACAGAAGAGAAATGGGTAAAGAAAGAGGAGTCTGTCTCTTCTGAAAAAGACTTGAAAGTAAGGGTAAGACGCTGTCTGGAAAAGCAATTAAACAGCTCTACAAATATATGAGTGCACTGCTTGATTTTCTTTGGGACAAATCTTGACTACAAATGAAAAATGTCCGGCATAAATGATCATGAGCCTAAATGGACGTAAAAGTGATAATGATACAGTCTGGATATGAATAACTCGAGGTGCTGGAAAATAAAAAAGCTTTGCCATCCAGACAGGAAACTTAAAAGTCTGAAATAGGAAAAATAGAGTAGTGGAGTTAAGACCTTAAAAAGAACAAAATTGGACAGAAATGTTAAAGTCTAACTTCACATCAGAATGAACCAGACAGCAGAGATAAGGGGAAAAGAAGGGAGGGCTATGATTTAACATTTCACTTGTTGGAGATTTCAGTTGAGTGATGTAGCTGTTTCATTGGAGGTTTTCTCATTAAACTAGTTTCAATGCAGTAATTTAAAGTAAGCAGAGTGCTTAAAATGTATTTAGGTATCATCCTGAGACATGAGATGACATTCTGGCTGTCTCAGAAGGTGGTTTGAGAAGCAAGTATCATGGCACGTCAAAGCAGCATAACCACCCACTCTGAAAAATCATACAATACTAAGCAATCTATGAAGGATGTTGTAACTACAGCTCCACAAATTGCTTACACACAACCAGAATACTGTGATATATTCTTTTGGATGCTGTTGCTAAACCCTAGTTCAACATTTAACATGATAATCGCACTCTGATGGTTAGGACAAAGATTACTCAATTCAATTTTGTTCATTTGTATAGCGCCAATTCACAACAAATGTCTTGAGGTACTTTACAATTCCAATTAACCCTAGCTACGAAACAGTAGATTAAGCTCAGTTGATTATCCAAGTCAGCTAAAAAAAGTTCTCTAAGGGAAACACAATCATGAAATGTGTAGGCAGCACTAATCTGGCTGGCCAAATGCAAAATTAACATGAATCTGCTTACAAAGATGGCCTAGAAGGCTTCTCTAGAAGGAGATGATGAGATGGTGTTCAACATTTCCAAAACTACAAAAAATTATTATATATGTCAGGACACAAAAAGAATACCCCATCCACTGTAAATCAGAAGGGATTAAGTCAACAGAATGGCCTCCTTTAGCCTTTTGGGTACATTACGCATTACATAATATGTGTTGCAAACATCGCTGCTTTGATAAATAAGGCACAAAAGTGACTGTATATCCTTCAAATCTTGAAAAATCTGGAGTTAGCTTGGCAGCTGCTTCTTTAAATTTTTAGATCCTCATTTCAACATTTTCTTACCAGTGGAATGTTGGTGTGGCTTTGGAGTTGTATGGTAGCTGACAAAAAGATCCAAAAAGGTAATCTTTGTGTTAGATCTGTTACCCATTTAATGCCAAACTGAAACCTGATTTCTTTGATATAATGACAAACAAAAATATGAAACACAAAATAAGCGATTGCATAAACATTCCTACCAGACTATATCTCTGGTGGCACAAATATGGATCAAAGGTTGTTAGTACTTTGTAGAACCCTGTTCTAAAAATAAGGAAGCACTTCTTGATTAACCCAATAATGACCCATTTGAAAAAAACACCATGAGGTTCTCAGGGTATTTGAAATAGAAGTAGGCACCCAGGATTACGGTTCCTCCACCATACAACATGAGGTGTTTTTGTTCTTTTTCTACATACTCATCCTTTGTTCCAAACTAAATCAAGCTGACATGTTTGTTGCATAAACATAACTCACACATTTATCCTCAGAGCCAGAGGCAATGAACCGGCCGCATGGTGAGAAGGCTGAGGAGCATGCATGGGAGAGATTCACATGGTTCTCATAACGACGCACGCATCTGTGGTAGAGACACACACAGTGATACAAAGTTTACATTAAAAGTGAAGTGAGTTGTAGCCTGAATAATTAATTGATCAATAAACCCGTTCCACAAAATGTGGAGGATTAATATATTTTTCACTTATCTTTTTTACAGTCGATATATTAAAATTAAACATAATAAAAATCTTCACTTGAGTGCAAAGAGTCAGGCTGATATGAAAAAGAAACAGGTTTCACGAACTTCATCTAATAGCCACTGGTGCACAAAAAAAGGATCAGAACTCAGCAACTACACATTTTGGAGACATCTTAATCTGCTGAACACAAAGAGTTTAGAATGACTCAGGTCTAGATGCAGAAAACAGGGAAAAGACAACTATGAATGGGTCCCTTGTGTAACTTTTGGGCTATTTAATTTGGTCTGCAGCAGCATGTAATGTCTTTACCATGCCATAATACCATCAACAGCTGGCTAACCTAGAAATCCTATACGGGATGGCATGTTTGCAGGGCTGTGCTTGAAAAGGATTTGGCAAAAGCATGTATTTGAGATTCACATGTTTGTGTCATTAAGTTGGACTGAAAGAAGGTCATATTCAGTTGTGACCATTTAGAAATTGGATATGTGCAACAGCAGCCAGGTACGGAAATAGACTTTATGTGGGGTGAAGACAAAGCTTTCTCAGAACACTGATTTAGGGTAAGAGCAGTTTTTTTATATTCTCAGTAAGTGCCTCACTTTATTAAGTAGGATGTTTCCAAAAATATGGTGAACATGTCTTTGGAACTTAAGCACATAGTACAGTGAGTTTCTGTGTAAATCTTTACGTTTTCTAATATTAAGTATTGTTATTAAAAGCAATGTGCAAAAGAATTAAAAAAAAAAAGTTTGTAGCTATCAACCTAAATAGTTAAATTAATAAGATAATGACAAAAAATTCAGCACAAATTATAGCTCTGATGAGGGCAAAATCCAATCGCCAATATAATTAATTTAATACCTTAATATTTGTGCTTAAATAAATTGAATTTCGCTAAAGCACAAACAAAATTGTTTCATATTCAAAGTTTTGTGTATTCACATATCAAGAGCCACATATACAACAAACATTTTGAAGTACCCACAATTTTTTTTTTTTTTTTTTTTTTTAAGATCAATGGTGCTATCAAAATATTTGATCAAAACACCTCATTAAATAGCTTCACCAGATCAGGGTTAAAGCTAATTTTATTTCTAGGTCAGAATGTGGCTGGAACGGTTCAGGAAGAAAGGAGCTGACGCGAGTTCCACAAAGCCACATTCTCCGTGTTGTGTGAGTGATGATTATATGGAATTTTCCTGATGACTAACACAGACCGCCGTAGTGGCTCTGTGTTAGAGTCACTACGGCTCTAACCGTAGAGCCGTAGTGGATCGCCTTCTAAGTGGCGATCCACTTAGAAGGCGATCCTTCTAAGTGGAAGCCTATGTTGTTACTAAATTCACCTGAGTTCACAGTGTCAGTCATCAATGTAATAAACAAAAGCAAATCAGCATAAAGACTGCTTTTTGGTTCACAATTGATGTGGAACCTTGTATACTTTGTTGGGAATGATTTTGTGAATGTATTTTCATGATCCATTTACAGAGTAATATAAATTCTACTAATTTTACTTTTTTTTTGGATTTTATTGGCTGCAGTGGCCATTATTTGACAGTCAGTTGACAGGAAAGTGTGTGTTGAGAGATGGGGAAGACATGTGGCAAAGGGCAACAGGTCAGGACTCGAACCTCTGATGGCCAAGTAATAGACTGAATCCTCCATACATGAGTTGTGCGCTTTAGTTCTGCGACACTGCCATGCCCCTATTAGACTCATTAGTGAGAATACATACATACATATCCAACCATTATCAGTTATTTGTCATTGTATTAAAAATCTGGCAAATTTAAAACTTGTTTTATGCTTGTGCTTGTAGATCAATCTCCACCAGATGTTGGAGTTTGTGCAGTAAACACCTCAGAAACATTTGGGCTGTGACTAAGAAGCTACAATGTTCCCTACAAGATATGCATAAAGCTTTAAATAAATTCACATTGAGGCTGAAAGGGGAATTGTAAATGGACTGATTTTATAAAGTGCATTTCTAGTCATACGGACCACTGAAAACGCTTTATACTAGAGCATAATCCCAAACGTGCACATATTTATACATAGTACACAGATCGATAGGCAACTTAGGTTTAGACAAACTACCAGCTCATCTGTCATCTTCTGTTTGCTTCCTGTTGATCTAACAAAGGCGATTTAAAGCATTTATGCTTACAGCACTTCTCACAGGTGAAAATCACAAAATGCTTCAAAAGAGAAAAACAAACAATAAAAGATTGAAAACTTAAAACATGACCAATAAACAAAAAGAATAACAAAAAAAAGTATACATACATAATATAATAATCCTAATATGGCTGTAAAAACTAGGAGTTGATTTAGAAACAAAGTGAAATATTTGTCAGGCAGTAGGTTCTGACAGAGTCTGGGATGAGGAATTTGATATGAGAGGAGCCTCAGACTTGAAAGAATGCAAAACTTAATAATGTGTTCTATGAGGCCAAAAAGAACATTAGGAGATCCAAAAAGGTCTAGATAAATCATCTGCCTTACAAGGACTTCTGTGAATCAAAGTCAGTTAAATGTCTCCTCAGGCATTAACTTTGGAAATTAAACACTTGCTAATTCAAACATCACATAAGAAATGCTTGAGTTATAAAAATAATTATGCAGTTGTAAAGGAAAGTTGTTTTTTATCTAGAGAATGACAAATGGGGAAAAAATTGGTAAAACTAATGCTCAGTTCTTGACTAAACATTCATCTAATAAAGATTCTATTTAACAAAGTTTTGACAGGTATTCTAAATAGTACTATCAGCTTTGTTTAAAATGTCATGGAAAGGTTTATATTGCTGTACACACCAGTCAAACTGATTTAATGTCCTAAATTAGGTTTCCTTCCTGAAAAGCATAAACTGAAACACAGTAGAATACAAACAGCAAACATTGTAGCAAAGGTTTGGTTGATTTTGTTTTACACAAAGTTGTCTTTCAGAAAACATATTTATACAAACCTCATTGTGCGAAGGTCCCACATCTTTACCCCATCTGTAACTGCACTGGTGAGGAATAGGTTGTATGACTCTGGAGCCTGTGAGGTGAATGTGGATCCCTTTAAAATATACAAACAAAACAAAAAAAAAGAGAATAAAGCAAAACCCTACATCCATATTAAATGTTTAATGTTTCAGAGAGCAAAAAGTAATAACTTTCAAAAGCTGACTTTATTGATTAAGGGGAAAAAATGATCCAAATCAACTTGATTTCTGTGTGAAAAAGAAAATAACTCCTGAACCTAATGCTTAGTCGTGCTACTATTAGCAACAACTGCCAATCAAGCATTTTTTTTTTAATTTTTATAAAAAGTGCTGCCACCCAATCTGGATCTCAGTATTCTTGAAACAACAAGCAGACTTGCGTCCCGCAAGCAAAGGGTTATTGTTGGATGACATGGAGTAATGAGGTGTTTTATGTTAAACTGAGCTGGGTCAGTGGGGTCTTTGTAAGTAATGAATAGGATTTTTTAACTGAATTCTGAGATTAACATGTAGCAAGTGGAGAAAAGCCAACACAGGGGAAATTTCCTACGAATATGCTCCTCAGCACACTGGTTGTACACACATCTATTGAGTGATGACTGTCTTTTTTCCAACTAGAAACAAACTTCTTAGTTGAATGAAAATAATTTTAGACTTAAATCTGGCAAGATGGATGATTTGGGGCTTTACTTCATGCGCAGAATAAAAAAGTAATGATAGCAACATTTGTGTAAAATATGTTCAGCATAATTTCCCAAACTTTAGGTATACCACTGAAATAGACTCCAACAAAAAATGTAGTTTCCACTCCATATCTACAAATAAATTCCATTCATGACTTCCAAACCAAGTTATCAGATGATAAAGTTAAGCATGTGAGCAAGGGAGAGAGAGTGCAGCTGTGGGGGTGTTCTTTGTTTAGTTTTCCATTAAGAGTGTGAGAACAGGAGTTCAAGACAGCCTTTCCAGCTTTCCGAGAAGTCCTCTGGTCTGATGAGTTCCAGGTGAATTTTGCAGAGAGGTGACGGAAATTTCAGTTTCTGATGTCTGGCCTGCCCGGGGAGGACAAAGCAAAAGTGGAGGGAGGTATGATTTTATGTGTGCAGTGTCCAGCCAGTTGCAATCCCTCTGATCCACGGCTACTAACCCCAAACCATCCAAAGGCCCCCAGGCTCTAGTCAAGAGAAGTCCTCATTGATGCAATAGCCAAGCTGAAACAACAAATTAGACCCTTCCCATAGAGTATTGCACACAAAAGATGTGATGACAAAGAACACGCACATCTGGGCCAAATAAATATTGTCAGCTGTGCAAGAGTGAACTGAAGCTGAATGGGTTAATCCATGCCAATACTGGGAGTGTATGCAGCTAATCCAGACTGTCCAGAGCGTCAAGCATGTAGGGTAAAATACACAAAAGTTACTGAGCACAAGGTTCACTGAGCAAAGCCTCTGTCGCAAACAAGTTACATAAAAAGCTTGAATGGACCTTTATTTTTAGCTTTTTTTTTAAAGAAATATGTTGGAATATTGTTTGCAAGCACTATGATATTTATACACTACATTGCTAAATTAATACCTCTTCAATCTGCAGTAGGCAACTTTTACAAAAAAATATGTCTTTTATATATTTCTTAAAACAGTCACTATGTTGTGACAGTATAACATGAGACAGATAATCTGTGAAAAAATCCCTGAGTCCTTCTGCCATCTCCAGAAATACACCTCTTACAACCAATCAGAGCCAGGAGGAAGGTCTTAGTGCTGTCAGTCATGCTCATGTACACTCAGCTTAAGATTCCCAGTATGCTGCAGGTGTGCTAATGGCAGAGAAACAACAAACTGGTACAGCAAATATTTATCTGCCACCAATGGTGGAAATGTTTTCTAGCCTGCACATTCATGGCAGGCCATTCATGGCAGGGAACTGTTGCGCAGCAGAGAGCAAGTGGTACAGTGTGAGCAGCACATACATGAGGGTGACTGACAGTGTTAAGACCCTCCTCCTGGCTCTGATTTATTGTTTCAGACTGATCTGTTGATTTCTGTACATGTCAGTAGGACCACAGGAAGAAGGCAGAGGAGCTTTGCAGTGTCACAACATAGTGGCGGTTTTAACAAACATGTAAAAAGATATGTAAAAGTTGCCTTCTGTAGCTGTAAACCTGAAAGAGATTTGTAAAAGTGTCCTTTGGAATTTAACACATTTAGTCAAATGTGTTTTATTGGGATTTTACTTGATAGACCATTCAAACAATTCTGAGATGGACGGTTACAGATAATTTTAGAACGTATCAGCCAATAAAAATCTGAAAGTGTGTCCTATTACAACAAAACCTAAACGAAATTCAGAAAAACCAAGAGTCACCTACTAAGTAAATAGAGTACAACAGGTGAGGTAGAGGCTGAATCAGCAGGAGGAGTAGGTTTACCATCAAAGTCAAATCAAATCCCATTTCATTATTGTCATTGCACAATGACATTTAAAAAACTCAAGTACTCAGAAATACTAACTCAAACTGCATTCCTCAAGGTCCAGAGTCCTGAAACTTTTAGATGTGTCCCTTGTCTGTTCTGTTTCCCCCTCCCCTCAGGTAAAGAGTCTGGGTGTTATTCTTGACAGCACCCTTTCTTTCCAGTCTCATATTAACAATATTACCCGCTCAGCTTATTTTCATCTACGCAACATCAACCGTCTTCGCCCTTCCCTTACTTCCCATTCCGCTGCCATTCTTGTTCACTGTCTTGTGACATCACGCCTGGACTATTGCAACTCCCTTCTGTTTGGTCTCACCCAGAAATCTCTTCATAAACTTCAACTGGTCCAGAACTCAGCTGCCCGTATCATTACTAAAACCCCATCCATGCACCACATCACTCCTATCTTGCAAAGACTTCATTGGCTGCCTACCAAGTTCCGCATAGAATACAAAATTCTTCTGTATACTTTTAAGGCTCTTTACAATTTTTCCCCACTATATCTTTCCAATCTTATTCATATTGCCACTCCCTCTCGTTCCCTCAGATCATCCTCCTCCATCCATTTGTCTGTCCCCTCTGTCCGTCTTACTACCACTTTGGAACTCATTACCATCTCACCTTAGAAACATAAAGTCATTCCCTAAATTTAAAACCGAACTTAAAACACACCTTTTTAGATCTGCCTTTTCAATATGACACAATTGGTTTGCTTGATTTTTTATATAGATTTTTTTACATAGATTTATATATAGATTTCATATAGATACATTGTTGTGTATTTATTCTATTTATTTTTAATTGCTACATTTTTATTGTTGCTGTTACTTTTCGCTCTTTGTACGGTGTCCTTGAGTGCCAGAAAGACGCCTTTGAAATAAAAGGTATTATTATTATTATTATTATTTGTCCTATACACTTGAATTAAATTACTCCACTATGTTACTAGCATGCAGTCAGCTCTACAGACCTCTGCTAATGAACTAATATTGGAGCCAGGTGTGCTAAAGCTAAGAGACAACTACAAGCACCAGGACCTTGAAGAATGGAGTTTGAGACTACTGATTATTAATTCCATCAAACAACTAATTTGCACTTAGACAAACACATATAAACCAGCCCCATGCAGTTAATTTCCCAGTCATAATGTTGTACAGCTCAAGTGTCAAGTCCTGAAATGCATTTAGATAAAAACAATTCTCAATTCTTAAATCTATTGGTGCACGTTACCGATGGACCTGTGATATTTCCCAAAAAGCACCAGTAAGAACAGCTTCTGGAAGAACAGAAAGGCACTAAACCTACAAAGAGACAATGTAATTATTTCAATCAAAGCCTATCATGTTTGAAAAGCCCAGTCAAAATCTAGTCTTAAATCCAATTAAAAATCTGGTGCAAGAGTTCCAGAAAAAGATGGTTCTATAACGTATTATCCAAACAGTCTGCATGCAGCACTGTTTGGAATTTTAAATGTAAGCACTAAAATCTATACAGATACAGGGGAAAGCAAATGGATATGCGCAAAATCTGCTTGTCAAACTTGGACCACAAGTCAGATAGGAAGGAGTAAGGACATAATGGAACAGCCTTGTGAAACGGCTTTTCTCTAAAGCCATCAACTCTAGCCTGACTGTCCTCCTGCTGTCACAGATGAAAGTATTAATCCTGATACAGCCGTAACTTACATTCAAGGTGAATTATACTGATGAATTTGCATCATGTCATGGAAACTTTTGGTTAACCACAGTGTTTTTTAATGATGACCTTTTGTTTTCATACCACAAACTAACACTTTTATTTCCTCAAAGACAATCTGTACCTTGCGTAACACACATAAAAAAGTAGTCCTTGATGTCTTATGTAACCCAGTGACATCTGCCAAATAACCGACCCTTCAGGAGTAAGATGGAAGATAGGGCTCACACTGCTTAAAGATGCCAAATCAAGCAAATTCTTCGCTCTGTGGGTTTGGTCCACAAGTGATTTAGTCTGTGGGTAAAGTGATGAAATGTCTCAGTCTCAATCCATTCACAAAGGATTTAGGTTTTCTATAAGATTTAATAAAACTATAAATTTGAAACCCCCTACAAAGTACATGTGAAAGAAAATATCAAAAAAGCTTACAGCACGGATGGGTGTCTTCATATGTATGTTAACTAAAATGTAATTAACAAAAAACAATTATATTTTATTAGTGCGATTACAAAAATGGCCAAAAAAAGTGTACAAACTCCTGTTGGACAAAAATCAGCATGTCAAACCATAGTTAATGTGGCATTTATCCTGTCAAAGTCAACAACCCCCAAAAAATGTGTTTGACAGAAAAAATAAGATACAATAGCTATAATCTAGTTGCAAAAGTGTGTGCAGCTTTAAACTAATACTTAGTTCTTTAATTAAGTTTCAGCATCAGTCTTCTTTGGTATTGGTCTATCGGCCTCACTGAGCTTGACAATATTTGCTCACTGAAGCTTGCATAGGATCTCCAGATGTATCAGGTTGTGGCACCAGGTTGATTATTCTACAAATGTACCACCAAATTTAGTTCTGGACATTTGTTAGGTCATTTAAACATGTGTTTTTCTCTTCATTAGATGATTTGGATTTGTGCTTTGACTTAACATTTCCATTTTCTACTAGAACAGCTGGACAAGAGAACTTTTTTCATACATCTTGTACATAGAATATTTTCAGTGTTAGTATGAATTATTTAATTATTCTGTCACATTTAAAATCCTTCACCTTGTTCTGTGTGATGCAGTGGATAGCTCTGCTGTGGGCGTCATGTAGCACAGAACCAACTGCACCTTTGTTCATGTCCAGAACTTGAATGGACCGATCTGAACAACTCACCAGAACAATGTCTGAATAAAAAAAAAAGCTGTTAAGAAAAGATGTGGCTAAATGAAAATAAATATTTGCGGTACTGCCATATAATTATAGTATAAAAATTAAAATCAGAGATGCACCAATTGATCAACCATTTACAGGTCAAGTATGATGAAACATTTTTTTTTTCCATATGTTAGAAATGCATCTAAAATGATAACTTCCACCACTATCATTCTATAAACCAATAAACCAAGAAAATGATTTGATTTAATGCTGCGAAAGGTCTTATCTGTGGATCTCCAGTTTTATTTGTACACTGAAAGTATATTTTGAAGATGTTTATTCTACTTAAAAGTTGCTGTTCTGCATTTATTTTCCTAGTGCTTTTATTTTACCACTTTTAAAACATTAACATACTGACAAAAAGAAAAAGATAACACAAAACAATTTCACTAAACTACTTTTTAGGTTGTATGTATTTCACACATGTGTAGTAAAGGAATATCCATCAAGCTATACATTTATTGTCTATCCTCGTTTATCCTTGCAGGATCACCATGGCTCCTATGTCCAGCAGTCATTGACAAGAGGTGGCATACACCCTAGATAAGACTCTAGTCTAGTCCATGGCAGCGAGTAATTGAACAATTTTGTTTTGTAATTTCACAACATATTGTTTTAATTGTGTGAAAAACGTGAACAATCCCCCAAATTTGTTAAGAACAAACATATTTTGATGCTATCACTATGCATGCATTTTCATTTGGAGTTCGTTTGAGAAAGCACTGTGATATAAAATTGCTTCTGACAGGAACAAACCCATTCCAACTCAAATTCTGTGGAGTGAGTTACTGGAGTGAGTACATGTGCTGTAAAGACTAACAGCGGACTGGAACGCAGACATTCCTGAAAAAAATCTAAAGACACCTAAATGCTAAAATCTGCAGTGGAGGCCCTTAAGCTATGTGCAAAGTCTTTATGAGATTGTTGTGGTTTACATGGACCAGATTCTCTGAGAAAAGCGTGTAGACTCACTCGGCCAGCACCAACGTGATATTACCTTTCCACTTCCTGACGCCAGAGCTATAAAACCCTAAAAAAGGATACATGAGAGGAAATCGTTGACTGCAGAAAGGGCTGTGATCTCCGAGGCTGATGGTGTTAAGCAACTTGCCAGTTTGATGATGCTCCGGTGCTTATATCTAAGAAAATAATACCATTTTTAGTCAAGTTGATGAAACCCCCCCCCAAAAAACAATTAATATAAGGACCTTATTCTTAAAGATCCTAGTCATATACAGTCATAGGATATAATTTACTTATTATTTTATGCTGTTCATCATTCTGTTGTATGTGCTTCCAGACACGTCCTGACAGCTTGCAGTGAGCAAGCTGTCGGCACAGCAGTGTCTGCAGTAGAATTAAAAATGCCAAGCTTCTCCTGCAATAAAGCCTGGTTCCTAAAGAGGTTGTAAAAACCTTTAAAGCTGTCATCCTCTGTCTACCAGAATATATGCCATTATTTGTTAACAATACTGTGTTTAAGTGCAGTTACATTACTAAGGCAATATAGCTATTAATGGTGACGTAAAAATAAAATGATACATGGTTTTTGGTTTTTCTTTACCAATAAAAATCTAGGAAGTGGTATATGCATTGAGCAACTTAATAATAATAATAATAATAATAATAATAATAATAATAATCCAACTGAAAACTTTTACAAGTCACTGTAAGTGTTTACACAGAATAAAACTTAGTAATTACCTTTTTACATCATCGCGGGTGAGGTCCACATTATACAGGTACAAGTATAGAGAAGGTCCAGATGTTAGGACTAGAAATTTGTCAAGATAATAAAACTGAGCACCTCTAATGGGTTTGGAGAACATAGTGTCACCCTAATGGAAAGATAAATAAAGATGTATGACAGATAAATATCACACCAATATCTTCACTTGGATATTAAATAGTATATTAATAAAATAAAAAGAGCCCTAACAAAAACTTTCCTTTTTTCTTAAATGGTAGATATTTCAGGGTAAGTGTTGGTTTTTACAGTGACTGTTGTCGTATTTGTATTGCTTGTTTTTATTTCTGGTTACGGTGTACAGCAATTTGGTCAACTTTGCTGTTTTTAAAGAACTTTATAAATAAAGCTGGAATGAAATGGAATCTATTATTCAGAAAATTAAACAAAAAATTAAAGAGAGAAAGTCTGACATCTACTGTATATAAAAAGATAACTTCATTTTTCTTTTGTAGTCTTACCTAATCTTTTAATAAAACATCTGTTCTTAAATTGAAACAAGCAAAACTTTTAAATGTGATACAAATCAGGACATACGTTATGGGTATTATGACAATAGATTCTGATCAAACTGGCTTCAATATTATACTAATGGACAAATAAAATGTATTGTCAGTTTGGATCCCTGGTGCAGTTTTAAACCCACCTTTCAGGTTTTGGTTTTTTCAGGAACAGGAGGGGGGAAATCCACATTCCCTCCACTTAAACACTTCAGATCAATGCATAAATGATATTTAAATATGACATATAATGGTTCTCCAATAAAGCATTTTCCTAAAAATATGGGTATAAACCACAATAAGACATCTTCATCAGGGACTCTTTTTTTCTCTCAGTGCTAATCTTCACTGTCATTTACAGTGTGCTGTAACTAATTTGACACATTTTTAAAGCCTAGCAGCTAACGGTACTACGCATTACACGTTGTAGTCAATCCAGTACATTTTCTTTTTTGTTAAACTATGGAAATGTAGATCTGTCTCACATCAGCATTGTTCTTTCCCCTGTGAGAAGACTTTCATTTGTTCCCAAGATGTCTCATAAAAACACAAAAACATTCACATGGCTTGTCAGTGTTTCTCAATTCTGGTCCTCAAGTACCTCTCCCCCGCATATTTTAGGTGCGTTTCTGTTCCAGAACACCTGATACAAATGATTGCATAATCTCATCTCTTTGCCATTCTGTTCTGAAGAAGCCTGTTAATTACCCGCTTATTCAAGTCAGGTGTGCGGGAGAAGGGAAAAACCAAAAACATGTGGGGCAGTCATCCAGAACTGAGAAGCCCTGGCATAGATTAAGCCGAGTTTTGGTAGAGATTCACAGAGCGGTGCACATTAAGGGTACTTAACATTAGGTAGAACCTCTGGGAGAGCAAAGTCCTTCCTAATTTTACTTAAAAATACAAATAGAATTTAGTTTCATCTAACTCATCAACCCCTGGCTGTATGTTCAGTGTCATGTCAAAAGTTGAATGTCTGCACCAATTTCACCGGGCCAGACATTCCCCGATGAATGTCTGCCTTGATGGATAAAACCTTTGGATCTTTTTATCCACCAGTTTTTTTTATTTGACTAAAATAATTTTCCATTGATTTTACTGCACGACAGTGACGTATCGCATTACGTTTTATATACTTGTGTTTTAATTACAAAAACAACTAACAAAAAAAAGATTATGTGATTTTTCAATTATAGGGCTCAAGTACATAGAGGAGCTTAAGATTCTGAAAGTTTGCAAGTGATGTGTATTAAATACATGTTTGTTTGTTTGTTTTTTTACCAAGATAATGGCAGGCTCTGAGTAGGATTTGGCCCAAATCCGTAATGATAGATCTTCTGCTGCACTCAGCCACCATTGTCTGCAGAGGCTCCAGCTCACACTGGTCACTGGCTTGTCATGACCTACATTCAAAAACCCAGGTCTCAAATGATCCTGATAAATCAGTGTACAGTCACAACATTTGCTTTTATGAAACTGTTCAGGCAGAGGGACAGTCTGAAGAGAGGAGGTTCATGCTGACCTACATGTCACCTCAACTTCTGTCCTTTATCTCTGCTGCCTTCTTGTGGACATTTTCCTTCAAAATTGGACCTTACTAAATAAATTGGATGGTGAATGTTTTGTCTAATTGTCAGTCATAAGGTAGCTGCAAAACCACCAAATTTGAAGTAAAGTAACAAATTTTAATTACATGTAACATCTTCAGAGCTATATTTGTTCAGCAAGGAAGCATACGTTTTATTTAAGGATAAAGTAGGACTTTTGGCATTGGTTAGTGATCAGATACTTTTCATTTAATCAATAACTATTTACAGTGCTAATTGTTTAATAGATAACAGCAATAACTTTATTTCAAAGTAATGTAATCTATTGCTGTTATCAAAGGTAACAGTTAAAAATGGCACACAAATCCACTCCCAGAAAGAAAACATTACAGTGAGTGTGCAGGTTAAAAACAGCAAAGCAAAGAATAACCATTCTTGGATCATGTCTCACCTATGTAGGCAGTTGGACTACCAGTAAGGCAGGAGTTGTACAATAACACCGAGCGGTCGCCAAGACCACACAGGATTTTTTTCCCATCACCTGAGAAATACAACAAACCACAGATTTATTTTTGGATCAGTTATTTTCAAAGTAAGAGTTCTGTCTGGAAAAAGTCTCATTATTTTAAATTATAGCTTTGTTGTTGTCATAAAGGAACTTTATTAAATACTATATTTCATAAATGATTGGCTCATGTGTTTGCACCCTTTCAGTGGAGAATGGACAAAGAAAAGCACAGTTTACTTCTTAAGATGTAGAATCTACTTAATCCAAATAAAAATTCAGCGATAAAGTTTAAATTTTAAGTTTGTATTAGTAACAATTTTATAGGTATTGTCACGGAAAGGTAAATCAAACTGTACACTACAATGGTCAAACGTTAACCACCTCATACCTGCTGCATTACTTCCCAGGAACCATCAAAGAAGCTTTTGGTTTTAAGTAAATACTCATTAACAAATCTTTGTGAAGCAAGTGTTAGATAATGAAAGGATAGTTTTAAATTTTAATACAGAAAGTCAGTATAAGATAATCCCCATTTTGCATTCTGTAGTAGGTCCCTAGACTTTAGTTTTAGAAAATACAATACAGCAAATTATCCTTTTATTACAATACAGGTAAAATACATGAGAATACCTGAAAAATACAGCTAAATATTCAAATAAAACAACAAAAAACCAGACCCCAGGGAAAAAAAAAAAAAAAAAAAAAAAACATAAAAAAAAAAAATGTTCAAGCAACCTTTTTTTTGGC